AAAGAATTCAAGCTATAAAATGATTTTTCCATACCATTGTAAAAGTAGAGAATAAAAAAAGCAAGATAAAAAATCAAAAGTAATAATAAAAAAAGTGTCCCATAAAGATTTATGAAGACTTGAATTTTCTGCCATTTTAAGTAACTAAAATCATGTTTTCTTTATCAGATCAGTTACTTGTCTGTTGTTGTGATAAAATACCATGACCAAAAGTGGCTTAGGGAAGAAAAGGGTTTATTTTAGCGTACAGTTCTAGGGGAGATCCAGTGACGTCCATCATGGCTGGGCTGAGCAGCAGATAAGCATTGGCAGCAGGAACAAGAAGCTGGCTGATTACATGTTATCTGCAAATTGGAAGCAGAGAGAAAAAACAATGGGGTATGTCCATAAATCTCAAAGCCTGCCCACACTGATATACTTTCTTCATCAGGGCTCTACCTCATAAAGGTTCTGTGATGTCCCTAAATAACATCACCAACTAGGGACCAAGTATTTAGAAACATGAGCCAATTGGGAACGTTTCTCATTTAAACCACAATAGTCCTTAGAAGCATCATTAGCTCTCCTGCTCATGGTTCTGAGTTGCAGAGTGAGGACCTCTGAAGGGCTGAGGACCCCAGAGGGATCATCCTTTGGGATAGTACCTCTGAGTATTCCCCTCTCTTGGCAGGTAGAAGAAGAGCTGCAGGAGCAAGACTTCTTGGACCGCTGCTTCCAGGAGATGCTGGATGAAGAAGACCAGGACTGGTTCATCCCAGCACGAGACCTGCCTCAGGCTGTGGGACACTTACAGCAGCAGTTAAATGGACTATCAGTCAGCGACAGTCACGAATCTGAAGACATTTTGGTAAGAGCCTTCAGTAGTTCCACGTGTGACATCCTGTAAGCAATATAGTGTTTAGAGTCGTAGATGCCTGTGTGGCCCAACACCCTACATCAGATCTCTGGAGCCTCTCAGCTGCCATGTTTTCACCCCTTAAATGGCCTCCAGCTCTGTGAAACTGTAGTCATCAGCCTTCATTTACCCTGATGCTCTGTACTGGGATAAGATTAGAAGTCTGAGTTGGGCTTCAGTAGGACCACTTGATAATTGTCTTTCTCTTTCTCTATCTGTATCTAATGTACTCTCAGTCTGCTAGGAAAACTGTTCCTATTAGAAGGAACACATTCCTGACAGGCCAGTTTGTAGTTCAGTTGAATCAGAGAAGTGAGTTCCTTGCCTTTTATTTTGATGTGGCTGGAATCCTATAAGCACTGTGGTTCCCACATAGCTTTGAGTGGCTGTGCCTTGCAGTGAGCCAAGACTCAACAAAACCAGTAAGGGGCACAGAAAGATGAGAAAAATAGAGGTTCTGGTATCCCACCTGGCTTCGTGGAATATTGTTTTTTACCATGTTAGTGCCTTGCAGTGAGCCAAGACTCAACAAGACCAGCAAGGGTCACAGAAAGATGAGAAAAATAGAGGTTCTGGTATCCCACCTGGCTTGGAATATTGTTTTTTTACCATGTTAATCTGTTCAATGGCTTGAAGTGCTATTTTGGAATGAATGTCATTCAGGGGAATATCCTGAAATTGGGAGTGGGAAGAAAGAGGGAGGAGCCTCTGAGAATAATTCAGTGACAGCCTAGGGTGTTAAGAATCTTCCTTCTTTCCCGAGGCTTACCAGGAAGGGTACTATGGGTGTGGCTCAGTTGTGGAACACTTACAGCTTAGAACTGCAAAAACAAAGTTTTAAATGATTTGGCATTTTTATCCCAGTCCCTGTCTGTCTTCCCTTCTTTTTCCCTGTACTTTCATCTTTCTTCAGGGCTGGGGATTTGAACCTTGTACATGCTAGGCAAATACATTACCAATAAGCTACATCCCTAGCCTGAAAATAAGTTTTAAAGTATAATATGACATGAAAGTAGAAAGATGGCCATTGGTATGGGGAGGGATAAGAGGCAGGTATCAGCAAAGTCAGTGTATTGCATATGTATAAAATGTTATAGTGAAACTCAATATTTTGTATGCTAAATTAATTTTTTTAAACATGAAAAGTATAATAAAGTACAGCTTGCTTTGAGATATGTTTTCTCTTGATTCTTATTTCAGAGCAAAAGTAACCTGAATCCAGATGCCAAGGAATTTATTCCAGGAGTGAAGTACTGAGCTGTTGGAAGCTTCCAGAAGGACTTGTCTTGTCCCCATACCTGGGGTCAGCAATGCACAAAAAGGCAGAGCTGAAGGGGGGTGGCAAGGGTGTGTGGCCAGGGCGGGTTGGGTTGGGAAGGTGGTTTAACTGGATACTGTGAGTAACTAATGTGCGAGGTACTACTCTCCAAGCCCTCTGAACTTGGCTCTTCTGTTCTGCTGACTTGTTCAGAGCAGTTTCCCATTTTTTTTTTTATTTTTGAGAAGTTCTTTGGAGTTGTTTTTCCCTTGTAAGGAATGTTCTGTCTGCATTCAAACAAAATAAGCTGACCAAGGAAAACAGTATTTAAGAAGTAATCTCCCTGCTGTGTACCTACCAGGAGCAGGGCATCTGGAGAGCTTAAGGAGTTTGCAGCTGAGTGGTAAGAGAGAAGAACAGAACAGGAGATGTAAACCAGATGCAACACTCAGCTCTCCAACCCCTGACATTTCCATAGTGAACTGGGGTACCAGTGGCCCACAAAGCCCTTGTCTCCTGGCCTGAACTCTACTCAAGAAAACACAGATTTGGAAGTTCTTGGATGAATGTAACTCTGGATGGATGCAAGTTGTACATCAGAAGAGCAGGGCTAGATGGTGTCTGTCATTTCGTTGCTGCTGGCCTGGTGTTGATCATAGGTGTGTAGCTGTCACTTATCATTTACAAGTCAAGGTCACATAGAGTCACTTTGCCTTCACGATCCATATAGGGGCTACTCCTGGCTTCTTTCCCTCACAGCTCTAAAAGACACTGTTAGCCGAAGTCTGAGACAGGCCTTTCGTTGGGTTAGTTGCATCTTGAATCTTTTTGGACAGTTTTGTTTTATTTTCCTTAGTCCCATAAATACCTGGCTTTTACAGTGTCTTAATTCTCTCAAAGATTTCTGTTTGCTTTTTTTTTTTTTTTTTTTTCAAGGAAATACGTTTTTCCAAATACTAGTAAGCTTCTCAGCTCAGTTTGGGTGCTTCTCCTGCCTTACAGAGTGATTCCCAGAAACTAAGCTGCTAAGGAGTCATGCCTGAGAACACAACAAAGCTCCTTGAAGCTGTTAATGGGTATTATTGCTCCCACAAACTAGCTTTTTTTGTCCTCATGGGCCTGGCTGGGTGTACTCTTAGTTCTCCCTGTAACTCACTAGGGTTTTGTTGATACTCTGTGGAACTGAATTCCACTGGGAGCTGCTGTTGTGAGTAGAGGTAAAGGTGGTAGTGTTGAGGGTGAAAGAACAAGTGTCCTGTCCTGTTTGTACTCCCAGGACAAGGGATTTGGAGAGGCCTGAGAGTGCTGTTCCTGTGCTGTGTGTTAGGTCTGGAAAGATCATGTAGCTTCCATTCTTATCAGTTCAGCATGTGGAGGTGGGCAGAGACTGGAAGAACGAATTGAGTCTGGAAAGTTGAAACTTTTCCCTTTTTCATGAGCTAGTTTTCTGACTTTCCATTTTGTTTTGGTTCCAGGGATAGAACCCAGAGTGTCACTTTTGCCAGGTTAGTCCTACCCTTGAGCTGTTCTCAACCCTCCCTTGTTGACTTGTAAACAGCCCCAGCAGTTAAACACAAACTTCCCTGTTTTTCCTGTTAAGTCTCATAGGATGGCATCTTGTGACAGTGGCCTTCTCCCTTAGGTCACATCATAGTGAGTAGCTCAGGGAACTTGTATGTCCAGACACATATTGACTCCCAAAGCTTCTCCCTCAAGAGAATGAAACTAGGAACTCCTAGTCATCTGGGAGGACTTTATTCCTGCTTCATCTTTTAGCTTGGCTTTTCACTTCTAATAAGGAGAAGGGTATGGGTAGGGCATAAAAAGATTCTGTTGCAGTCTCCACGAGGCTGATGGAGATCAGAATGTATCAGGATTACAGGAATATCCTTGAGAATCTCCACCTGAATATAGTGTACCCTTCTTTGAGTACTTGGCTGGGAAGCCTATGCAAGCCTGAGGTTTTGTTCCATCCTAAAGTTTTGCCCTTTAGAAGCCAAGCTGCTAGGTGTGGTCCCAGAGGCCTACCTCCCCTCTTGCTGTGCTGACTCATTTTACTTGGATGTCAATCTCTGTCTTGGTTTCGAGGGTGCATTTGGTTAATACTACTAGAGTGCTGTTGGGTGTACCTGAAAGCAAGCGCTGGTGTGTTGGGTCCACCTCAGAGCAGCATGCTGACTCCAGGCTTGGGATACAGCCAGTGAGGTAGGTGGTCCTTAGTAATATGTGGAATGACTTATTCCTGTGACCCAACTCTATCATTCGAAGTTGTGAAGTAGCATAATTGTGCCCCCAGACCTCAGGCTCAACCTTCGAGTTTGCCAGCTTAGCAGAAGAGTTTTGGGTTTTTGTGGGTTTTGTTTCCCCTTTGAGAATTTTTACAGCAATAGAAAATGTTCTTAATAGTTGCTGGTCTGGCTGGTCCCAGTCTTCATTTATTAGACTGAGTTCTAATTGTGATTATTTGACTCTATAACTTTTCTTTTGTGGAGGGGGAAGGAATAAAGGAATGTCTCTTCAGGCATTTTGGACTGCATAAGAAATTATGGAGGTAGCCAAAGCCTGGGTACTAGGGTACAAAGCTCAGGGTCTGGGGCCAATTTCTATCTATAGTGTACCTGACTTTTGGTTGTCATATAAGCAAGCCAGAAAATAGTCTAAAGATTGGATCTTTTTTATTGAACTAAGATCTCACATGTGCTATGTAAGCACTACACCAGGCTGCATTCCAGACCTGTGAGAGAGGCTGGGTCTTGGGAGCACCCCTATTTCCAAAGTCAGAAGAGCTATGATTGCTTCATTAAGATTGTAAGGCTAACCATGTCTTAAAAATAAATGTTTTTAGTGAACTACTAAGCATTTTCCATATAATTGTTATGTCAAGGGTTTATTGTTTTGACTTTCAAGAGACTAAGATGCAGGTAAACAGCTCTGCAAATCAGCACCTTCAATGAGTGAGCTGGGAAAGGGGGACAGCCAGAGTGAACCTCTTGATTGGGGCTGTGGTCGATAAGCATGTGACTGCCTGGCTTCCTGAGTTTGTCCCCTGTTGCTAGAGGGGACAGATCTCTTCAGTAAGAGTTTTGGTATTACGTGCTATTAGTCTAGGTTTATAGGATGTTAAGAATAGGAGTTTAACTAGAAGTTGGAGGTACCCATCTGGTGGGAAAGCCTATCCCAGCCACTCTCCTCTGGGAGAGAGAGCAAGGGTGGGAGGCACTAGTTTTATCAAGTAGGGAGAGTAGAAAGGATGCTGAGATGTGAAGCAGGGACCCTGAATGACCTGTCCATTCACAATTGCCATAAGACTCGTTGCCCCCAGGAATGGTCAGTTCTGGGATAGCTCAGTGCAGTGGGTGTGAGCACCTTCCAAAATCCATTCTGCTACCTGGAGGATGTCACCAGACTTAGATAGGTCACAATCTGGAAGGAGTGGGTTTCTTTTTCCCATGTTTAATCTTCCAAGAAGTCGCTGGTAGTGGTGGGAACAGACAGGAATCTACCCAGGGACACATTAGACTACATACTACCTGTCCTCTGCTTTCATCAGCCAACACACTGCTGGACCCCAGACGTTTCTGTTCCCTGGGAGTCAGGACTAGGTCGTAAGACACACTGAACTCTTCAAGATGTCAAGCTTAGGAGCCACACTTCCTTTCCTGTTCTTGGGGAACAGGAAGAAATTCAATAAAAGTATAATTTAAATGGAAAATTTGCTGAGCTTTCTTCCAAATTTACCTGACTACTTTTATTTTAAAATGAATAAACATTCCAGGTTACTTAATAATATTAAGATTTTTTTCAAGGGGAGGGGTAGTTCTTAGGATCAAACTCAAGACCTCACACAGTTAGGCAGCATTCTACCACTGAAGCTATCCTTACCCTGGGTAAGGATATTTTTAAAAAAAATTTTTTTTTGAGTCATAATCTTGCTCTGTGGTCCAGACTAGACTTAAACCTCTGATCCTCCTGCTTCAGCCTCTCCAGTGCTGAGATTATAGGTGTGGACCACCTGTTTGTCCTAAGTAGCTTAATATTGTACTGTTACTAAATTGTTTTAGTGCTGGGGGTTAAATGGAAGATGTCATGCAGGGGTGAGGAAGTGTTCCAACAGCAAACTATATCCCTTAACTATCATATGTATTTCCTGTAAAGTAGTAACTTTTGTTTTGCTCTATAAACACACAAACAGAATTTTGTCCTGCCAATTGTGAGCCTTCAGAAAGATTGTGGGCAGTACTCATCTTTAATATCAGGATTTGGGAAGAGGCAGAGGCAGGTAGATCTCTAGTTTGAGGCCAACACAGAGTTCAGACTAGCCAGGTCTACATAAATGAGACTGTCTATAAATAAGTTAATAAAAATAAAGTAGTACTTGAAAAGTACAAACTGGGCCCCTAAAAAAAAAGCAGCTTTGAACTGGGGTAGTTCCCTAATGATGCCTATCATACAAATCATGAAACTCACCGGGTTTAAGTGTCTCTAAGTCACTGAGTTTAAGAATTTCCTTTAGCGCTGTAGCAACAACCACATTTGTCTCTCTCAGTCAGCTCTCTCATATGCTGGTCCCCAGGCCCTGGTGTGGCTGATGCACCTTTTCTGGACATTTCATGTCAGTGGTATCAAATACTATAATTAATTTGGCCCTTTTTTGAGGTGTTCTTTCAATGTTGAGCTGTTTCCTGTTGATGAATACGCTGCACTTTTGTAAGAGAGCCCCTTAAGCTTGGGTTTCAGCCTCCTCAGCTCTACTGGCTCTCCACCTCTATCTACTTTGGCAAGTTCTCTGAGACCTTTGAAGCATCTGAGGCCCATTTAATAATGAGCACAAGTGGACAAGGAATGAAACTACATGAGTGTTTCACTCAGAATCAGTGCTGAAGACTGCAACTTTCTAGTCATGTCCATGGGTATTGGCGTTGTCCACCATGCTAGACTCTTGAGGTGGTGATGTACACAAGAGGAAAGAGGGTCAAAGTGGAGATGGAGGAGCCAGTGGAGCAAAGCAGCCTATTGATGCCCAGGCTGCCTGGCACCTCCAGTAAACCTAGGTCTAGACTCTAGACTCTAGTCCCTGTTGCAAATGTTTAAAAGCTCACAGGGCCTTTAAAATCTAAAAAACAAGCTGGGGGGGATGGCTTAGCAATTAAGAGCATGGTTGTTCCTGGTTCAATTCCCAGATGGCTTACAACCATCTGAAACTCCAGTCTCAGACAGGATCTGATTTTTTTTCTGGTCCCTGCAGGTGCACACACAGTGTTCATAAATGTAGGCAGAACACCCAAACATAAAATTACCACAGAAACCTTAAAACAATTTTCCTAAAAACACCAAAAGTGTGGGGTGAGGTGGGGGTGGAGGGATTACTGAAAAGTTAGTTTTGCTCTACAAATCAAATGGCATCTGTTTAAAACCTCACTGAGAATAAATGCACTTGCTGAGATGCTGAGGTAGCACCTTCCTGGCTCAACCTGGTTCCCTCCTTCCACCTGTATGGACAGGTATACTGTGCCGGAGTTGAAGAGAGGGAAAACAGAACCCAGAGGTTAAAACTAGCATTGTGCACATCCAGACCTCGTTAATCTTAGTTGCCAACTGGTACTGGGAATGACAGTGTCTCTGGGCATTTCAAGAGTATTTCCTAGAAGGATTAGCTCCAGAGGAAAGACCCTCCCCCCAGGGCTGGCAGCAGCAGCCTCGCTATAAAGATCTGAGAAGGAAGTGTCCCACTGTAACCAGAGCCAGATGAGCAGCAGTGAGGAATAGGCAGGCTACTTGGCCCACAGGGATTCATTCAGACAAGAAACAATAAAATGCCTTGTGTACCTACAGCTCCCAAATCCAAGGTTAAGTCAAAACTGAGACTAGGATTGTACTGTCCCCTAAATCCTACTGGGAACCTTGGGAGAGGATGTGATAGATCTTGGGTCATTCCCTGGGAGGTAGGCATGGATACAACTTAGTTCCATCATAAGAAATAGTAACTCAGCCGGGCGGTGGTGGCGCACGCCTTTAATCCCAGCATTTGGGAGGCAGAGCCAGGCGGATCTCTGAGTTCGAGGCCAGCCTGGACTACCAAGTGAGTTCCAGGAAAAGGCGCAAAGCTACACAGAGAAATCCTGTCTCGAAAAACCAAAAAAAAAAAGAAAGAAATAGTAACTCTGCCAAGAGGAAACTGGGTCCCAGCTCCTCGCAGCCAAAGCACGTGGTGTGGAAATGGGAAGTGCGGGGCCATTATATGCTTAAAAGCCTGGTAGGTGCATGCACCAGAACAATCACCTGGAGTGTATCTTTCAACGCAGAACCTGATAGGCTAACCTGCTGGAAGTGCTGAGGACATGCACAGCAATGTGTTGAGGATACCATCCTACTAGGGAGGGGGTAAAGTGCATTTATTTTCTTCCATGTATGTTTTTAACAACAAAAAAGCTCCTTCTTCTAACACTTACTGTCAGCTGGATGGGGGAGGGGGTGCAGGCCCTAGAAGGTATAGGAAAAGAAGGCAATGGCGTTGATGCTATAGTCCAGGGGAAGCTGGTATCCAATGTGCTTGGCTCCTAGGCTGGCACCTCCCAGTGCAGAAGAATGCTGTAGCTTCATCAGGGTAAAGCTGGAAAAGGATTTCTGGGCCTGCAGCTCTCGGCCCTGAGTCAGTGCCAGGAGAAAGCCTGGAGAGAACATAGAGAAGAGATCAGCAGCTAGGGCTTCAGTGGAGATGCTGGAGACCCCATGCCCAAGCATCCAGCACAGAGGCACCAAGATGCTGTGGGTCTTGGGACCAGCAGCCCAAGGAACCCATACTCAACTCCAGAGCATGCAACACCCACAACTTCTTGGTGCCAGAATCTGGTAGGGACCCTGAGCTGTTTCAGAGTCTAATGTAAACCCTGCAACTGGCTGAGCTGAGGCTGCCATGCTAAATTCTTTCTGACCAGAATGGTGACTAAGGCTACCACAGGTTATCACACACTGGCCTGAGCTATAAGGGGATGGAGAGATGGCTCCGTGGTTAAGAGTATTTGTTGCTCTTCAGAGGACCTGGGTTCAGTACCCAGCACCCACATGGTGGCTCACAATACCTGTAACTCCAGTTCTGACAACCCTCTTCTACTCCTCCTTGGGTACTGCACACCCATGGTGCACAGACATGCTGGCAAAAATACCCACACAACATAAAAGTAAATAAATCTTCAAAAGTGATGAATACATCACTTGGAATAGAACATCTTTTCACCAGCTCAAGAACTAGAGCTGTACAGCTCTATAGTAGAGCACAGGTTTAACAACCACATACCCCAGGAGGGGGTCACAGGCGCTGACCCCACGCCACCCTCCTTTCCAGCTGTATCTGTTGTCTTCACCCACACATGCCCATGCAGACTCACCTTCCTTCAGCATCTCCCAGCTCTTCCACACTGAGCCCACACACACAATGGGGAGGCCAAGCTTCCCTTGGAACAAGACCTGGGAAGAAGGCAGAAATAGGACACTGCAAGCTGACCCTAGTAGAGCTTGTCAGGACCTTGGGATGTTTCCTCAGACCCACTTCAGTCCAAGACACTCTCCCTCTAGTGGGGAAACTAAAGGTGGACTCAAGGAAAAAAAAGGGACGGAGGAGCGGCAAGGAGGAAAACGGAAGTCATGAAGTAAGGCAGAGAAGAGGAAAGGAATGGTCAATTGGGAAGAAGTTGAGTAGGAAGATGGAGAGCCTAGAAGACAAGCACCACGTGAAGTCAGTCTCTACAGATTCAGATGCATCAAAGCACATAGAGTTTGATGGGGCAGTCTCACCACCCTAGGCCAAGGGCCAGACCTCCTCCAGCTGCCACCCACCTTGGTGTTTTGCTTCAACTCACCGGGTCAATCACTGGCAAAACTGCCACAATATGTTTGCCCAGTATCTCCCCAGCCTTCTTGAAGATGTACCGGGAAAGGAGATCTCCCTGCTGTGCACCTGGAGCATGGAAGAGGAAGGGGCTGGAGAACACAGGAAGCAGCCTCTATCTACTCTAGCCGCTCTCTCCCTTCCGTAAGGCAGAGGCCAAGTCAGTGTTAGGTTGGATGCCCACATTGGTAAAGCAAGCCTCTTCCCACCATTCCAGATACCTCCTCTTCCAGTGCCCTGCCCGAAGCAGCTCACTAAGCTTTGAGAAGATCCTCCCCCACCCCACCAGAGCAGTAGGACTAGACTCCAGTGAACTATTAAACCATATTGCTGTGTATCAGCCCTACAGACAAGGAACCCTGAGAAGACTGCTGATACCCCTGTTGGTGACCAGCACTCCAAAAGTGTGCTGCTGGCCAGCCCCATCCTGGCTGGTATTTCGAGCCTTAGTTCTAAGATAAGTCCTGGGGCCAAGGAATCCAAGTTAAAGGGGGGCAGACCTCACATTGAAAACAAGGTGTGACAGGCAGGCTCCTCCCAAAGCCAATACAAGCTGCCCGAACTTTCCAATCCCTGCTTCTGTGAACTTGCCCACCAGACACACTTCAGGTTCTCAAACCCAGGCCTGTGGATTGCATCAGCCACATGGGCACCAGGGAGAGAAACACAAGACAATCCAGTGCTGTCTGGTCCCACCTTCGCCCTATCCACCACACCAAGTTGAGCCACAGACTCCAGGGTACTTGGTGAGCCAGCCACCAGCACACAGGCTTAACCACGCGCCACCCTCCCATTAGACATGCTTCTGTGGAACCAAGCTACAAACAAGCCGGCACTTGCAGTACCTTCTGCAATTTTCTGGCAAAACCCAGCAAACTTGGATTTATCAAAGTCCCTATACAGGTGGGTGAGGATTCCTAGCCGATCCGGCACCTGAGGAGGAGACACAAGCAGTCAACAGACACAGAAGACCCCTAGTTTGTCACCCCAAGTGGCCTTCCCAGTGTGTCCATTGGAATGACCAAAATATTTTGAGACTTTTAAAGCTTTAAAAATTACAGGAATTTGAGATTTATCACTTGAGTCGTTTTGTCTTCAAGATCAAATTCACTGAAGAACTCTTAAAAAGACTGCTTGAGTTAAAGAGCAGTCCCTACAGTCCCTACTTCAGAGTAGCAAACCAGGGTTCTGAGAAGTGCTGCAACCAAGAAATGGATTCACCTCCCAAACTGTCTTCCTCCACCGCCACCAATCTAACACATCCCCCTTCTGAGTCCCCAAAAATACAGATTCTCCAGAGTACATTTTAGTGGAGGTGGGATAAATATGTCTACAGAAACATTACGAAGTGTTTTATACACTTGTCTCATTTGGCTTTGTTTACATTTTTGCAAAAATGCTGAAACTCCTAAGAGGCAGTGGCACCCACACTGGTCTGAACACACTGCCACATTACTCTAAATCCTGTCGTTTCCCTGTCACTTCTCCACGTTGCTGTTCTGACCACCTGGAGACCCCCATCCCCTTCTCCTGCAGCCTCTCCTGTGGATTCCCCAGTGTCCTACACTAGGTGTACATGACTGTGGGGTAGGCAGTACCTGGAAATAGTTGAACATGGCCTGCTTGACATAGCCAATATCATGAGGAGCTGCCTCCAGGTTGTCCATGGAGTCAAACACAATTTTTATGGCTCGGTGTGAAATCCAGAAGGCTGCAGGAGCAGAGGGCAAAGAAGACAGCCAATCACAGGCCATCTCCTCACCAAGAAGAAGTCTCAAGCCCAAGCCCAGTTAGAAGTCAGTGATCAATCAGTGGCTCCCAGTAGGAGGGGGGCTTTTAACCAAACTATCTGGCAGACCCAGACAAGGGAAAGCTGGTGGAAAGACTGAGTAGGTAAACTTGTCACACTGGCTCCCATTCACAGACAAGGGTGGTGAGCTGTCATACACAGCTGCAGATACATCATGAGCTGGACCCCAAAGCCACCAAAGAAATGTATACATGCTGCCCTAAAAGTAGTGTCAGTGGGCAGTGTTTCCAGACCCCTTTCCCACTGGCAGAGAATCTCTGGACACCTATGGCCTTAACCCTCAGTCTGAATCCTTCCCTTAGGTCTCCAAAAGTCAACAGAAGTAGGCTGCACCACCAAGCCATAAACTGAACCTTGGGCATGGGAGGCTACTAAGGAGCAAGACGGTAACTGTGATTCTCCTATCACTACTCAGTACTCTGAAACAGGTTTAGGAGCTATTTAGGAACATCTGTTTTGGTTTAGGGACCGAGAGGGCAGGGAGAGGGAGGGGGTATGTTCAGGCCCTACGTGTGCTCACCTGAGCCCTCATCTCCCATCATGTGGCCCCAGCCACCACAACCATTCTCGGAGCCGTTGGGATTGACAAGCCTACAGTTGGAGCCCGTTCCAGCGATGAGCACAATCCCACCTGGGGAGAGGGGATGGGGGCTCAGTGTGGCCAAGAGCCTGCATAGAGCAGCAGCTTCCCACTGCAAAAGAGGACAGAAACCAGCCCCACAGCGGAGGGATCACCACCCACCTCCCAGAGCAAACAGCCCACTTGCTTCTGTCCAGGGGATGGAGGAAGAACACAAATCTGCATCTTTTCAGGGGAACATGGCTCCCTGCCAGCTAGACTTCAAATGATCTTGGTTTACTGAGTACCTAATGCCAGAGACTATGGCAGACGCTGTTCTTACAGTGACCATCATCAACACCCTAAATCATACAGCCAGCCACTCCCACTTCTACAGAAGTGAAAACCCTTCCACAACTTCTCAAAGATGGAAGGCCTCTCAAAAGTCAGAGCCTAAGCCAGTTTCAATTTTGAGATGGTCTCATAAGGTAGCCCTGGCTGACCTAGGACTTATTTATGTAGAGCAGGCTGGCCTTGAACTTGCTGGAGTAAAAGGTGTTCACTGACATGCCTGGTGAGACTCAGTTATATACCAGCATACTACCATACCCACCGAGTCCTACACTTTCTCTTTAGTACCCGCCATCTTCTGCCCCCAGAGATTCCACCCCTCACTTCCCACCCAGACACTTATCCTGCCCTCCTTCCTCCTATGTCCCTGGTCCCTGGTCTAGCAAGGGTTTTAATATGTCCAGGAAAGGACAGCTGGGACAGAATAACAGTGGCTGCCTTCCAGATGTTTGTAAGAGAAGTTGTGCCAGTTGTAGGTAAGGGGCTTTCTCCATCGGACAGTTCATTCTCAACCCCACCCCCTTCCCATCCTCACCATTCGGTGTAGCTGTGGCAATGGAACCTGCTGCGTCAGTGGTGATAATGTAACTTTCACTCAGGTGGGGAAATCGGCCCTTCAACTCCTCTATCAGGAGCTTCACTGCATCCGCCTGCTCCCCACCACTCAGGGACAGGCCCTAGGCCACAAGGGAGAGGGACAGCTGAGCAGAGAAAGGAGGGAGCAGCCCCAGACCAGCTCTTTTCTTAACCCCTCTCCTCCTGACACCCATACGGCTATACTCTGCTCATCCACTCTAGCCCCCCACCACCACGGTAAGCCCTTAGAAGGCCATGCCTGCAGGGACAGCCTGGCCTAGGAAAGAGTGGAAGAAAGGAAGACCCAGGCAAAGGAGCAAGGTGAGAGGATATGGAGAAAGCAACTTGGCTTGACATTCAGGGGATCAACTGCCTGCATATCTCCCTTGCACATCTGCGAAGTAGCCACAGTCACAGCAACCTGGGAGAAGAAGAGCTAACATTTAAAGAGCCCTCCAGGCTACAGGGTGCTGACCATTTTGGAATACAATCTCACTATCTCACTTTCCCAACAACTCTTAGTATCTGTATTTGCAAAATGAGGAAACTGAGGCTGAGAGAAGGTGACTGATTTAAGGGACACTACACTGGGTAGCAAAGCTGAGATTCAAATCAAGGTACCAATGGGTCTCTGGAGCCCCATGCTCTTAAAAAACATTCTCAGCTATATAAGATCGAGGGTCCTGGCCCTAGAGACCTTTTCCTCTCATCATCAACCTCATCTAACCCTACTGGCCACCTGCTTCAGCACTGATGCTAGCCCCAGCTCCAGGCGACTCACCAGGCTTCGAAGGGGTACCTGAGGATCCACTCCAGCCTTCTGTTTGGCAGTGGTCACCATCTCGTTGATCCTCTCCACACACTTGTCTGTGCCAATCAGCTGGCCCCAACAGGGAAGGAGGAGTTAAAAAGGCTGGCAGGACCTGTACTGCCACTACCAGCTGCTAAGAGGCCCAGCCACCAGCTGAACAGGAGTTACAGCACATTAAATAAGAACCAAGCCCTCTGGTCCCCTCAGGATGGCTTTTTACCCAGTGGTTTGTGCTCAGTCCATCTGCTTCTGACAGGATCTTCCCATCCTCAGAAAGTAAAAGGACTTTGGACCGTGTGCCTCCCCTATAAAACACAAGCGGGGAGGGAGGCGACTCAGTCCTGCTAACACTGCAGACAGAGCCAAGCTTGCACAGCAGTCCCTTATTTTAGAGTCTGGGGGAGAGACAGCTTTAGCAAACCCAACCTCTACTTCCAAACCTACCTGTTTCGTGTCTGCCACACTCTGGAAAGGGAAATGGAGCCTTGCTCCTTTTCTCCTTGTAGGTCCTACTTCCCCTACAAGACCCCACTCACTCATCCCCTAGACCTTACAACGTGTCTGATGGGGGCTTCTCCAGACATCAGTAAGCCCTGGTTAGCAGGACTGCTCTGAATTAGGAGTGCATTAGGTTGTTTCGTGTCTGCTTCTCACTATGAGCTCCACTAGGTACAACTCCTGAGCGATTCCATATCCTAACCGGCCCAGGGCCCGGCCAAAGCAACTTAGGGTAAATTCATCAGAGGAGAAAAGCAGACCCCTGCTCCTCTCGCACCAGCTGAGAGCCACTTTCGAGACCCATCTCCTGTCACCAGGGTCTTCAGGACACTTAGGAGAAATGATCACCAGGCAGGGAGAAATTTATACAGACCTCAACAACTAAACCCTCAGGAGTTAAGTGGCGTAGAGGAAGAGTGACATTCGGAGGGGGCGATGTCCTACTGATCAGCACTTCCTGGAATGTAAAACTCGATGATCCAACTCAAAGAGGAAATCAAGTTCGGAGGGGATATTAACGAACGAGACAGCAGACTAAGAATCCAAAATCACTTCTTGACAAACTAGGGAAAATTAAGCTCTACCTTCCAGATGACTATAACAAGGCTAAGTGCAAACTCCTACATTCCGCTAAGGGTTTTTCCTTGTTTGTTTTTAAGGTGTCACAAAACAAACAAAACAAAAAACACCAGAGGCCATCCACCTTAGCAATTCACGGAGACACTTTAAGGGTAAGTCAGCAGTGAGCTGTTAATGATACCAGACCCTCCCGTAGCATGTCCTGGTTTGACACACCCAGATCCACAAAAAAAGTTTATCATGCGCAGGGGACAGGCCAAATCACCATCTTGCTCACCCTTGTTCTTGATTTACATAGGTGGCAATTGAAGCCCAGAGAGGGCAGACATCGCACCCAAAGCCATGCCCGGCAGAGCTACCACCCAAAATCCAACAGACCAGTTTCTCAACAGGAGACTGTGGGAACCAGCAGCGGCGGAGGGTCCCAGTCACCAGGACAAGACGGTGGTCTGCTCAACTCCCGGCTTCCCTTGGCCACAGATCTCAGTCTGGGCTTCCGCCTCTTTCCCATGTCCACGCGCGACCGGCAACTTCCCACCTGACCCCAGCTCTGTACAACTCTTAGACCCAAGACAGCGGGACGGTGGCGGCCGGGAGGGGCGTGGTCGCACCGTGGAGCCCGGAGGCTCCGGACGTGGAGCAGGCGGCCGCCCCCCGACCCGCCGCTCCCTAAGGGACAGCCTCGGCCCGTCCAGCACTCACCCTTCCACGCCGCCATAGAGCGCGGCCATGGTACAGTTGCCACCGCAGGTCCCTCTGAGGCAACCTCCCTCTCACTGGGTCGAGTCTCCCCACCCGCCCCGTGCCCGCCCCGTGTCATGTGACCTCGGCGCGCACGCGCAGGGTCCGAACGGCCCGGCCTCTGTCGCTGTGGTTGGCCAGTTCTAGCCCGCTCGGTTCCAGCCCCTGAGCTTCCACGCGGAGGAGGCCGAACCTCGACTGACCAGCCTGGGAAGGTGTGCGAGGGAACGCCGGAAGCAGCCGGCAACCGCACGGTTAATTATGGGGCGCGCAGGCGCAGGCGCAGGCGCATGCCGAGGCGTGCTCAGAGTCTGGCGGAAATGCCTGAGGACCAGGGCGGGGAGCCAAGGTTTAGCCCCCTGCTGCGCAGCCTGAGGTCTACCCTGAGCTGAGCACTGAGCAGGTACTGGGCAGAAAGGCCCCAGGCTGCTGTCAGCATCGGTCTAGCGGTGGTGGGGCTCACTAGAGCCTAAGGTTCCGTGCATGTCAGGCAACCGCTCTCCAGGGGAACTGAGCCTAGCCTGTTCTTTTTGGACAGTATCTCCTCTGTGTAACCCAGACTGGCCTGGAACACCACCATTCTGGCTCAGCCTGCAAAAAGCTGCCATTCGCAGACCCGAGTTCACCTTCTGAACACCACCCTCCCCTAATTCTAAAATGTGCAATGGAAGAGGAGCAAGATGCCATCAGGTCTGGCAGAAGAGTGGCTCCCATGTGCCACCTCAGGCTCCTCCAGGTGGTTCTTGGCCCGTTAGCGCCCCCTTCTCTCCCCTTTCCTTAATAGACCTCTCACGTGGGCCCTGTCGTATGGTGTGACTCCTGCTGTTTTTGTTTTTGTTTTTTTGGTTTTTCAAGATGGCTTTGTGTAGTTTTGGTGCCTATCCTGGATCTCGCTCTGTAGACCAGGCTGGCCTCGAACTCACAGAGATCTGCCCGGCTCTGCCTGAAAGGCCCCCACCAAAGGTCCAGACACAGTTCCCCCCAAAACCCAGAAGAGCTGAGGGAAGAGATATCTTTTTTTTTTTTTTTTTTTTTTTTTTT